TGAGTGTGTTTTATAATGTCAAAGAGACTGAGAGGGCATTTCTCACTCCATTTCCTTGGGCTATAACTTACCACAGGATTGTAGATGTATGTGAACTATAACAATGGGAGATATTGATATTACTGGGTATACTGAATAAAAGACAGCTAACTGAAACTCAAAGCCTATTGGAACACATACCATTTATGTTTTAATTAGACAATTTGAAAGGGCTATATTTCTATTTCTTCATTAACTTTTTTTTATTCACAAGGATTAATTGTACAGGGCAAATAAAATAAACTATCTTGTAAAGAAGTGAAAAAAAGTAATCTGTGTACAATATATATTTGCAAAGTCAGCAGCCCAGTTACAGTGATAATTTTATGCTGGCAGCTAACATCTGGCATACTGACCTCACGAACTGACAAAAAATCTGCATGTAAAACATACATTCAACTGATTCTGGGGAAAAAGTCAGGAAAGTTTGTGCTTACCACACAAAACTGTCCTGTGTGCATATGTCGGAGGGTTGACATTTCCCTGGCAAAGCCCAGGAGAGCACATCTCATTGGGAAGGCAGGATGTCTCTGGAGACAGAGAGTTCCCCTGATCTCCCTGCTTCCCATGGGCAGCCCCAAAGCTGCTGCCCCTCACTAATGGTTGGGGGGGTGTGCTCTCGCCCCTTCAGAGCTGGAAACATTCAGCTCCATTGTCACAAAGCCTCTTTTTTTTCTTCCACTTGCCAGCTTATGCAGCTGCCTCTTTCTGCTTCAGTATGCTTTTCTGCAGACGCCTGGGCCAGAGAGCTGATGACCTGTGCTTTCCCAGGAAAGCCCTCCCGTACTTTCTCGGAGATGAAATTCAGGCACACAAAAGTAAAATTTTGAGCTCTAGGCAATGGCTTCCACCAAAAAGTACTTGTGGCTATGATATTATTGTGTTTTCTGTACGATGGGAAATGTTTTAAAGCAAACATTAGCTGTAGCCTGGGAGCCCACAGCATCCTATTCATCCTGCTGGATTCCTTGTCTCATCCTACCCTAACCCTTTTTACCAGAGTTTTGATTTCTCCCCATTTTTTAGCAATTTGCTGACACAATATCACTAGGAATTCTCCCTTGTCCTCCATAGAAAATGAAATCAGGTTTTGTGTGAGTGTTTTGGACCTTATGGCTTTTTATTCGGTGCTCTTACTGCACAATATTGTGCTACTGTACCAGGAGGATATAACACTACTATTTCACTTCCAGCCACGGGGAGACTCCTTTTTCTTTGAAAACAGCTCCTTTTCAAGATTCTCAGCTACAGGAATTATAGCAGCTATTAGGAGGCCCTGACCATAATGTGAATGCTTAGGCCCTAAAGGGGCAGCATGTTTTAACCTGCAAGTGGGTACTCAGAGGCTTGGAAGACAGCACAGCATCTCAACAGAGCCATCCTAATTAGAAAGAGCCAAGAGTTTTCCACTCCATTTGAACTATCATTTTTCACCTGCTTATTTGGAGGGGACAAATCCAGCTATTCTTCCTCCCTTCAAAACTGAGACATTCACTGGATGGTGTTACTACCAGAGCAGGACAGAGGTTTCCACTCTTAGCAGAGAGTAGAAGTAGAAAATTAAGCTTATCAGTTTCATTAGGGGAAGTTGTATTTGGGGGAATTATTTCAAGGTTTTTGTCAGAGGTGTGTTTTAAAGATTTCTTATGTTTCTAATTAAGAAGCAACAAATATCCAAAGCTCACGAGCTGATACAACAGTATAATGAAAATATAGCCAACCTTATAAAGAGATACTAGTATATTCTTTCAACAACAAATGAAGCTGTGTTGGAAATGGTGGGCACAGAATGAGTAAGGAGCCAAAGTCATATGAAAATAACATAAAATTATACTTGCTCTCACATCTCCTTGAGTTACAATCTCATCATGATTTCAAGGCTAAGTCAGGCTTTACCTTGTTAGTAGCTTGATAGGTGAGCTGATAAGGGAAACCCATCGCATCTGTAGAAAGTGGTATGTACTTACACAAAAGTAATCAGTGCTGCCATTCCCTTGCCCTCCACACCCCAAATCAGTGCTGCACCTTACCTTTGCTATTCAGCTTGAGTGTTTTGGGCTGCCAGAGGGTGACACTGCAACCAGATCCTGGCTCCTAACACTGATTAACTTTCCCACAGCAGGTTTCACCAAAGAGGCCTATTAATCAGAGGTGCCCTGTTCACATTCTAAACTGGATAATTAAATTTTCCCTGCCTACATTACCTTTGTAATTTCAGTTACTTTACAGGTGGTTTTTTTCCTTCTTTTGCTGTTAGTACACATGATTTCCTGAAATGGTGTGCAATATTTCTTTGCTTTCATACATGTGTCCACTGCAGATACATCTGTATTTGAACCATGGTAATTCTGCCTCACGTAACATTTGTATAGCCCTTGCAGACACTTTAGGAAGGGATGAATATATCTGTTTCCTTGGTGATATAACAGCAATTCATGATATATCATCTTTCACTGTACTTTAAAATAAATATGCCTGCATTTTTTATGCACTTGGAAATGCATAAGAGCCACATCATTTATGAAGGCATTGCCCTCAGCATAGAAGACCTAGAGACCTGGAGAACATCCTTCAGTTCTTTTCCATGCCACTGCCTAATCAGTACACGGATGGCAGGAAACTGCCTCTCTGATAAGAGAGGGTGCAGGCCCTGAATATTTCGTTCTGGGATACAACACATCTTTTAAGCTGGCTTTTCTCCATTACTCAAAAAAAAGGTTGAACCTGTAACTAAGTTCATCAGAGCTATCCAGAAACATGGGCATAAATTCCAAACAGTCAAATAAAACTTCACACATCAAATGAGAACACAGAGCAGAAAGACTTGATTCAAGGCATACTGATGCAGGTTGTTGCACTGATGTAATTTCCATCCCTCAGAAAGGTTAAAAGGAAGAAATAATATAAAAAACCCCTTTAACTAAGCCTATCATTGAGATCAGTACCTGGAGCATATTGATTCGGTGCCGCTACTCCAGAGGAAGGCAGGGGTTCTTGCATTTACTGTAGTAGTAATAAGGTAAAGTTGTACTTCTCAATTATGTTCCACTCCAAACACAAACACTGAATCAATATTCAAGGCTGCTGTTTCCAACCGGAAAAGTCCACAGCAGGAGAAGTTGGGGAATGAATTGCTCTGCTCACGTAGATTTTAGCACATACACTATGGGAATATGTTAGTTCTGTGCTTTTTACCCAGGCATTGCGAGAGGGTTCTTAGACTTTGATGTGTTCAGGTTTTACTTGTAAGGATAGTTCAGACGCTGCTGTGAGATTACCACTGCTGGGAACCTAAAGGGAATCTGGATACTGAATTTTAATGTAGTAGTACAGTGAGACCTTTTTAGTGCAACATCTCCCCTCACAAAGCAGCAGAGCTGCCAGCACAGGAGGGCAGCTGGGGCAGGTCTGCAGCAGCCTAACAACAGTAAGGGGGGCTAGAGACCTTTCATTACCTTGTTAACTTCCGTCACTTGGTAAGTGTAAGGAGGAGAGTGGCCAGAGAAAGGAAGAGTTGATATAAGGAAGGGGAGGGGAAGAGAACAGAAGTCATAGGAGAAACAAATATTGCTTTTTTCTTGGGATCTTAAACAGCTTTTGATGTCTGGTAGAGCAATACATAAAACTAGCAATTTTCATAATTAAAAATATTAATATATTAGAACTTGTGCAATAAAATATGTTTTCATATCTGAAATAGCATTCATATCTAAACTTGTTTTCAACAGAGATGCAACACAAAATTTGGGTCCAATGCGAGTCCTTGTGTAACTATGTATTTAGGTCAGATGAAGTGATTCAGGTGTAATGCTGTGCTTGGTGTAAGTAACTCTGGCCTCTCTCTCTGCCCCATCCTCCCTCTCCCCTCCTCTGTGGATTTCAGTGAGAAAAGATTTTGTCTGAATAGGAGTGAGTGTCAATATCCTCTTAATATCACCATTTATCTAGCCCTGCCTGTGACAATAGCTGGCTGTTGGCATAATGTTTATAGAGACCATGAGATGGGCTAGAAAGCAGGACAATACCATTGGCCTTGCTGTTGCCCAGAGTCCAATAAAGCTCTATCCCTGAGTGGGGGAACTAATCAGAAATAGAAATTAGTCTGATTTTCCTGCTGACTTGTAGTTACTTACTGTTAGCGGTCACTACTCTTGGGGATGTTATTATGCAAAGCATTAATTTTCTTAATGCGCTTTGTATGGTGGTGCTGTTAATGAGTGTTGTCAGTGACTCACCGTGAGCCTGCAGTCATACTCTTTTGCTCCCTCTCACATTTCTCAGTGTCATTTCATCATAGCCAATACCCACGTGTTGAGGTCAGCTCTTCCAGGCACTCTGAAGTCTTGGCAGTGCCAGTGTTAGCACACGGCAACATCAAGATTCATGGTTTAGGGCATAAAGGCATAGTGTTCAAGCCATGCTTCGATCCTCATTCATTCAGATGCTGACCATGAAGTGTGGACACAGAAATGCTGACTGTTCCTGTGCACGGGGTTTTGGTCCACTCTGAAAGAGCACACTGCAACTATCATCCCAGCCATGAGTGCAAAACGGCTGGTCAGTACAATTACTCTCATAGGCACTTTTCATACTTGCCTTTGCCACTATACAAAATGTAATTTTCCTTAATGTCACTGTGCTAGTACATTATCATCCACTTTTATGCCCTTTCATGCTGCTGAAATGGTGAGAAAAACGTACAGGAGCAGGAAATTAGGAATCTCAGAGTGTTTTGTGAGTTAAGGGCTAGCGTCTTAATGATTACAATAGTCTACTTTTCTGGCTTCCAGCAAAAATTAAGTCCAAGTAAATACAAAGGGACATTGTTGCTTTTTGCTTGATTCTTTGCTTGATGGTCTTTGCTTGATTTTTAACACTGTAGGCTTTATTCTAAACATCTATTAATGTCACTGCTACAGAGAGGTTCCACTGAATCCTGTTCCTCTTTGTTTTTATTGCAGATTGAACATCACAGAAAGCTACAGAAACTGCACCCAGGACTTTTCAAAGTGGTGTGCTCACAGCTGTGCGGCTGGAAATGCTTCCTTCACCGACTGAAATATTTGCTTGGCTCAGCAGCCCCAGGCACCTCATGGTTGAGCTGCATTTCTCACACTTCTAGTCGAGCCTCACCCACGGGGATCAGCAGGGCACCTGAGGGTCTGTATCATCGGGGTAACACAAATCTTGTCGTCCCTTTACCAGTGAAGACATCATCCCCTGGCATTCCCACTGAAATTCCCACTGAGGTTTCAGTTAGCCGGCTTTTATATCCAAAACCTTCCCCAAGAACCGGGTGTACAAGAACAAGGACAGGACAATAGGAAATGGCCTCATGTTGCACCAGAGGAGCTTTCGATTGGATATTAGGAAAAATTTTTATGCTGAAACGGTTATTAAGCATTGGAATGGGCTGGCCAGGGAAGTGGTTGAGGCACCATCCCTGGAGGTGTTCAAAAGACAGGTAGACAGTGCATAGAGCCAGGGTTTAGTGATGGTTTTTGTCAGTATTGGGTTGATGGTTGGACTTGATGATCTGAACGGCCCCTTCCAACCAAGGTAATTCTACGATTCTATCATTTCATGCCTCAATGCTCTGGCACGGACATGATAGCTGCACTTTAATGTTTGAATGGTTGTAGCATCTTACAAGCTTTTTTTTTTTTTAAAAAAATAAATTAAAATTACACCGAACATGTAATTAACATCCCTACCACATGAACCTTTACTTCTTTGTGGTTTTTTTTTTTACTTTTTTTTTGTTGTTGTTGTTCCTGTGGGGGACCTCACAGACCTCCAGGGAGGTTTTATGCCAAAGTCTTAGACAGAACTAGCGGGGCAGGAGATACTCACTCCAGTCGGGCCGGCGAGGCGGCGGCAGCACCGGCGGCCCGCCCTGAGGTGAGCCCGAGGCAGGGGCGCGAGGCCGCCGCACAGAGGCGCGTCACCCAGCTCAGCGACCCCCCGCCCCATAGCCCCAGCCACAACCAGGAAGTCCGCGGCAACCAATCAGGGCGCGGAGGGGGCGTGGCCAGGAGCCGCGCGGAGATTTAAAGGCGGTCAGGGCAGCCCCTCAGCTAGTCGGCGGGGCGGGGCCTCTGTGGAGCGCGGCGCATGACCGGTGAGTGTGGGGAAGGGGAAGGGGGAGAGCAGAGAGGATTAGAAAGAGAACATCCCAGATGGTATCCACTCGGCCTGCACACACAGTCAAAATGTATAAAGCAACCTAAATTGGCCTGCTGCCGAGATGTGCAGCTGTCCAGGTGAGGGGCTGCATGGAATGGCAAAAAAATAGGGCAAAAAGTCTTGGTTTGATGAAAATGTCTTCTTCTAGAGAAGTGTCCAGTCTTGACATGATGAAGTAAAGCAAGACTCTTGGTAGACTGTTCCAGCAGTCTCACCATATGCGTATTATTAGTGTATAATCTCTATGTCTTCACTTCAACCTGTTGGTTATTTTTTGACAATTTGACAACTGTTAGTTATAGACCTCTTAATAATCAGTATTTTCTTTCATGCATACATCAGTAAAATTGCCCCTTCCCCTCTGCAAAAAAAAAAAAAAACCCTACCACATTTCTTGGTGAACTAAACAGGCCGAACTCTTTCAATTCTTCTTCCATCTGAAAGTTTCCAAAACTACAAATCATACCTGCTGTGATGATCCTCATTCAGACTTTGCTGCTGCTTCCCTCACACACATGATTCTACAAATACAGACAGCAGAGATGGAGATAAGCTCCGGTTTTGCTTTGTCAAAGTCATTGTATACAACTAACATGGCTTTCGAATCTCACTTGCAACCATTTAAAATAAAGAGAGAAACTCCTCTCCTTTATTTTGCTGTGTGTTGCAAAATTCACATATTGATTTTACTGGACACCAAGCAGTGGAAACTTATAAAGTGCAGGAGGCTTCTGCAACTCCATCAATTGAAGAGTAAGATGCACATGCATACAGGCCTGCTACAGTTTTGAGGAAAGAATGTCAATGCCAGTTAAAGGCAGCTCTCGAAGCATTCATAGCAAAGGCACTCTTAAGCTGCAAAAATTCAAATCAAGTTCTATAACACCCTAAGGAGAGCTTAGGATAGTTAATGTAGGAATTTGTAGCTATTCTTCAAAACTCTGGAATTTAAAAAGCTCCTAAAATTCAGATCTAGGCTTTTGGCTTAGGTTTTACTCTATTTCGCACAGAGCTGTGAATGTTATGTCTTGCGCCACCCTCCTCCAGATCTTCTCCGCGTTTTCCTTTCCTTAGACCAGATACAGAATTTCTTCAATGAAAATAAACAGTTCACTAAAAATACCAACTGTGGAAATGGAACACCTGTTTATTGCTCTAATATGACATTCCAGTATAAATATGAAATCAATTTTTTTAGTGGTATTAAAGCACAGAGCAAGAAAAAAATGTACTTTGATCTTGGGTCTTGCTTACACTGGACCTGAACGCTAACTAATTTCACATGAAGAACATGCTGTTAGGTTAACCAAGCATATTAAAGGCAAAAACCAATACCAAACAATCCTTAGGTAGACCTATTTATACTATATTTTGCTTACCTTACCTTACATATTTTCAGTCTCCAAGCACTTCCTAAATAATTCTGGTTTATTGCTCACTCTGTATTACAGTCTCTTAATTTCGTGGGCTAACCTGTTTAAACCTGTGTAAATTCAACTTTGGGAGGAGAACCTCTTAATACTCTGTGGCTACATAGTTTACTATAACTAACTTTACAAGTTCAGAAAATGGTGGGAGACCACCCTGACAATTCTTGGAAAACAATATAACCTATTTGCTTTTTTTGAAATTACCTGAAGACCCAAATATTGGAGTAGATGTAACCTGGAGAGGATCCAATGTGACAACTACCCTATTCCTCTGGAAGTAATGCTAGGTAATTCTCTCTCTCTAGCTGGGAGGTATTTGAGATGGGAATCATTAAGATATAAAACAAACCTTATAACTCTGTGAATGTGGCTGTCTCCAGAACAGTTTATAATATACTATAATAATATCTAGTCAAATGCCTACCTGTCAGAAAAATAAGCACCCTTTGCTTAACAGGTAACTAATAAGAAAATTATTAAAATCTCATGAGAAAATAAAACTGATCCTGTGGAAAACAGTAGGGTCAAACCCTAAAAAATGCTGACCACCTTGAGGAAAAAAACCAAAACGCCACTTTAGAGCAATGCTGATTTTGATTTTGCTAAGCCCCATATGTGTCTCTATGGCTTTCAGTTGTTCACCTTCCCAAGCTATTGGCGCAGTGGTAGCAGCCAGCATCAGGGAAGGTTTGGTAGCTGAACAGATGAGCCTCAGCCACCCATAATGGTTGGGCAGTAGTGTACTGGGGTGGGTTGTGTGTGTCGAACGCATCCTTCTTGTCCAATTGCTACCTCCAGCAGGGAGTTGGCTTGACTGGGGGATGCTTTTTGCTCCATAAAAATGAGCAACTAAATTCTCTTCTAGTTAGTCTGACAGTAAATTAACCACAAATATTTTTAGATGTGGAAATGAAATAAAGAAATGTATCTTGATTTTGGGGGTATTTTTCTTTAGGACTATGTTGGCATGGACTTTGCTAAAAAGAATATTCTACATATTCTTTCCTTAAGAATTCTCCTTCTAACTTCTAATTAATTTTGCACATTCTCTGAGACATACTTTCACCTTCCAGAAAATCCATTTCCTCTGATTTGTATCAATGGTACATTTGCTGCTCCTTGAGATTTCTCACTCCTAATTCATGAATCCATTAAAAGGCTTTCCTTTGAAAAGTAGCCCCCACTGCTGTGTCAATTATTTTCCAGTGTTGGTGCTGGCAAGTAGAACTTGTGACTTTCCTGAGCAATTAACCTGGCAGTTATCAATAGCAAACACTGAGTACTGTAACAAAATGCCACCGAGTTGGGAGCCATAAGGCAATGGATTGCACAATAGAGCTAAAGGAAAATGTAATTGTTAAAATGGTTAGCCCATCTGACTTTGAACCTGTAGCAGATGTCATGTTCAAGTAATGGATTTGGAAAGCTCAGTCTCCCACCCTCCTGTGTTCTGGACCCTGTGGAAGAGCAGTAATGCATATGTATAGGTGTGTGTATATTTAAACCAGGAATGGCAAGCAGACTGTAACACCCTTCTGTATGATTGGGTTTCTTTAAAATGTGTGGATCATTGCGTGGAAACAGAAGTCTTTTAAATCAAAATCAAACTCGGGTGATAAATCACAGTTATTTTACAGCAATCCTTACATGGATAGAGTGACATTTGTGCTCAAATCTGCCCTGCTTGGAGCTCAGTGCTCCATTTCATATAAGCAGGCTCAGTGATTTTATTGAGAGTTCTTACAACTGTGCCCAGCCTGCCTTTTTCTCTGTGAGCTTCCCTATAGCGTGCTGTGCCTGAGCTGCTCCAGACACCAGGCAGGCAGTGCTAAGGTGCTGCTTTATGTACTCATCATGCAGGAGCTGGTCCTGAGAGGGCTCAGTGCCACAGTGCAACATCCACCTGTGTTGTACTACTGTGCTTGTACAGCCATTGCTTATTGCAGTGTTTGAAACAATTGTCTCTTTCTTCCCCTTTCCCTGCACCCCAATGTGACTTCTCTGAAATCAGACAGTTTACTGTGGCTCCCCAAGCTCTGTGCCTGGGCTGGGCAGGGTATGTGCTGCACTGAAGATGAGAACCAGACCCTAGATCAGTTAACTCGGTAATAAAGCATTCAGAGGGTTTACATCCGAACTGCTGTTTGTGTGTGTGTGCCAAATCACTGTCTACAGTAGATCACATTGTTTTGCATCTTAATTAGAGGGCAAGTCTTTTAGTGTGTAATAAAATGTTACTTTGTAATTGAATGCAAATACTGGCAATTGTTTTCTACCATCTATGCCATTGAAGAATGGTTAATTATCTGATTTAACTCCAATTCCTTATGATGGCAGTTGACAGGGACAGGTACTGGATATCTGAGACTGGTCCAGGATTCTGAAATTGTCCATCTCAAAACGTGATTGGACTTGGTTTGTGCTAAAGAACATCTGAAGGTTATTATTACTTGTATGAGGTATAGACAAGCCTGCATTTAATGCTGTACTATATGCTTTGTGAAGTGTAACAGCACTAAAGTTATACGTTAGCTCTATGAAATGGAAGTGTTCTTGCATATTACATTAATGTCAGTTAATAGGGAATTAGTGCCACCTAATGTAAAAATGTAACCTAAGTGTCTCTGATAGTATAAGGGAAGGCTTTCTCATTCTCTCTTCCATTTGCAATAAACATTAATGAAATAAAAATAACCATGGGTTATGAAGCTGTTAAATATTATATATTCCTATACTATTAAACGTCATCTATTCCTATTACATAAACTTTATTTTTGCTTAGTAACAACTACTCTGTTTTATTCTGAGAGATTAGCAATTTCATAATACTCTAAAGGATTAATTGCAGTAATGAGATACTTCCCTGTCACAGTCTTATGTAAACTATAATTATTTTGGCCCCAGTTCTGAAAACGTGTATGCAAGTTCTTAATTGCACTCAGGTGAGGAGAATTAAGTGCATGTATAAATGTTAATGTGAGCAGAAGCTAGTTCCTATGTGTATCCTTTTTACCTTTTACTAAAGGTACAAGTCTGTATTCCAAAGATGATTCAGTCTCTCTGGCTGTTTTATAGAAGAAAAATAATCCTTTAAAAAAGATTAGCGAGAGCAAAGATAAATATAGTGAAGGAGTGCTCTGGTTCCCCAGTAATTACCTATCAGGTATCTTCTATCTAAACTGAATTTCCCAAAAGAGAGAGCAAAA